CAATAAAAGCAGTTTTTCTGCCAAGAAAAATGATATCTTAGTTACTGCTTCCATCATCTCCCGAATTCTCTTGTTCCTATTTCTGGAGCACCCCAGACGTGGCCTGACTCTTGGCTCTCTGTTGGGTCTCCTCCATCTCAGGTTCCCAGCAACCTTGTCCTGTCAGCCCTTCTGGTTTTCTTTATTTGATTGTTTCTTTGCCTTTTTTTTTTTTAAGCAGATCTCTGTAAACCTCCCCTTCCCCAACAAAGAAACCCAGAAAAGAAGTTAAGTGATGTTTATAGGCAAATATAAAGCTGACTTCTTGATGCAAGTATAGCTAACTGGTAAGCATGTAAATGCTCTCCCGTAGCAAGGTATTCTGAGGGATGCAAAGAACAAATCCAAATAAGTCATGGTTTTAAAAATAAATGAAGCCCACAATGAGATACCACTTGAATGGCAATAATCGAAAAGACACTATCAAGAGTTGGCAGGGATGTGGAGAAACTGGAACCATCATGCATCCCAAGTGATAATGTAAAATGGTGCAGCCACTTTGGAAAACAGTTTGGTGATATCTTAAATAGTTAAATATACACTTAGCATATAATCTAGCAATACCATTTCTAGGAACCTGCCCAAGAGAAATGACAGTATATGTTTGCACAAAACTTATATGTGAATGTTCATAGCAGCATTATTCACAATATCCTCAAACTTAAAACAACCCAAATGTCCATCAAGTAATGAATGTACAAACAAAATACAGTATATCCACACAGTAGAATATTATTTAGCAATTAAAATAAGTGAAATACTGAAAGATGCTACGATATAGATTAATCTCAGAAACATTATGCTAAAGAAAAATGCCAGACACCAAAGGCTATATGTGATAAGATTCCATTTCTATGAATCTATAAAAGGCAAATTTGTAGAGACAGAAAGCATATTTGGGGTTGCCTGGGGCTACAGAGGAGAGCAGAGAAGAACTGCAAATGGGTTTGAGGAAACTTTTTAAGATGATAGAACTGTTCAAAAACTGGATTGAGTGATAATTGTACAGTCGTATAAATTTACTAAAATCACTTAATCATACCTTTATAATGGAATTTTATGGAATGTAAATTTTACCTCAATATGGTGGTTAAATATTTTTTTAAATAAGGCATATAGCACATTAAATAATTCATAGTTCTTTTCTCTGCAAAGGAAATAAAGACACTAGTCAAAGTATGGCCTGCAGACCTGGGGTCCCCAAAACAGTCTCAGGATGCCCTCAAGCTCATTTTCCTAACAATACTAAGAAGCAGTTTGCCCTTTTTGCTGTGTTGACATTTGCATTGATGGTGCAAAAGCAATGGTGGTTGAAACTGCTGGTGCCTTAGCACAAAATCAAGGCAGTGGCCCCCAATCTTATAGTCATTGTATTCACCTGCACCATGCGCTTACAGTGGAAGAATACATTCCATTTTCACTTAAGAATCTCCTTGATGAAGCAGTAAATTTTATTTAATTTTATTAAGTCTTGTGCCTTGGGTGCAGAGCTTTTTGATAGTCTATGCGATAATATGGGAAAGAGGCATACATAAGGCATTTCTTCTGCACACTCAGGTAAGATGGTTATTTGAAGGAAAAGTACTTGTTCAGTTGATGGAGTTGCAGGCTGAACTCATGGTTGTTTTTATGGAACACCATCTCTACTTTAGAGAAAAAAATGCCTGACATATATTATGAATATTCAGGCTTGGGTATTTTGCAAACATTGTCTCAAGAATGAATGAAGAGAGGGGCGCCTGGGTGGCTCATTTGTTAAGCATCTGCCTTCAGCTCGGGTCATGATCCTAGGGTCCTGGGATCGAGCCCCGCATTGGGCTCCCTGCTCAGCGGGAAGCCTGCTTCTCCCTCTCCCACTACCCCTCCTTGGGTTCCCTCTCTCGCTGTGTCTCTCTCTGTCAAATAAATAAAATCTTAAAAAAAAAAAATGAATGAATGAAGAGAACCTGTCACTTCAAAGAAAACAATTGGCAGTATGTGTTGCCAGTCATAAAATTCAAACGTTAAACCAAAATTAGAATTTTGGAAAATTTTATACCACCATGAGCTTGACAGCTTCTGTCAAGATTTTCCTAATGAGATTGATGGTGAATTTTAACAAATGTGATTTTTTTTTCATATTGTACAAGGAAATGTGTCAAAATTTGTATAATATGGGCAAAGGGGTCTTGATACTAAAGCGTTTGAGAACTGCTGGCCTAGTGGCTAATAGCAAGGACTCTGGGGCCATTCTGCTTCGGTCGAAATCCCACCACTATCACTTATGACCTGTATGGTCTCAAATAAATACTTCACCTCTCAATGCCTCAGCTTTCTCATCTCTACAAAGGGAAAAAAAATGGTACCTATCTCAGAGAGGTATTGTGGACATAAGAATGAGTTAATAGGGCGCCTGGGTGGCTCAGTCGTTAAGCGTCTGCCCTCCGCTCAGGTCATGATCCCAGGGTCCTGGGAGCGATTCCCATTTCGGGCTCCCTGCTCGGCAGGAAGCCTGCTTCTCCCTCTCCCACTCCCCCTGCTTGTGTTCCTGCTCTCTCTCTCTGTCTGTTAAATAAATAAATAAAATCTTAAAAAAAAAAAATGAATGAGTTAATATATGTAAATATTTGTGAATATTAAAATGAGTTACTATATGGAAATCACTTAGAATAATGCCCGACCTATATAGTAAGTGATCATTGATATTAAGATCTTGGTGAGTCGTAATTTGTAAAAACAAATACATCATACATACATAATCAGAAGACATCTCTCTGTAATTATATATACTTTCTTTTTTCTTTTTTTATAACTGGGAAATCTGAAGGCGACATTCCCCCCAGTGCCTCTGCGGAAGCTTTGGTCCTCCCGCTTCCTGGCAGGGCGCACTTGTGCGCATGCGCAAAGGGATGGCTTGTTCAGGACTGGAGTTTCCCCGCCCATCCATTGAGCCCTGTTATTTGGGGTTTCCTTCTCTCCCTAGCAACCACACAATGTGTTTTTAAGGAAGATGCGGAGAGACAATGTCATTGTGAAGGGTACCGTTTAATACATTGACTATAAGCAGAATACAATTGTGTATCGTTTACAGTCATAGAATTAGAGGCCTCGTTCCTGCCTCAGCAATGTTTACAATTACAGTGTCTCAAAAAATAAATAAATAACAAAATGACAGTGTATCATTTAGACTCAGCGTTTGGGAAATTATGTGAATAGGGAAAAAGTGTAGGGCTCTGTCCTGTGTCCATTTTCGGTGCTTAATCCAAGCAGACAGGAAGTTTAAGGGGGAAAAATGACTAACTTGGAACCTACCTTTGCAGTCCTTCAGAGAGACTACATTAGAGCTATTTTTATCTCTCACTGTTAAAAAGAAGTTCATCATTTGTTGACCTTGTTCATTCGTGCTACCAGTATACGATGCGTAACTCCCATGAAGTGCCAGGCGGGCCCCACCGAGGCTCGGAGTCCCCACTGGTAAAGCCTAGCCCTCCTGGAGCTGCTTTGTGAAAGCTAAGGTAGTTCATCTGTTGTTCCCTGGCTGTGTCAGCAGAAGGAACAGTATATATTTTATGCCTTTTAAAGGTGTATGAAAATACTCTTCAGTTTAGTGTGGGGCAGAGAAGGTAAGTTAGACCACAAAAGAATCATAAGGATTGTTTCTTTTCCTGGAAGATCACAAACAAAACTTACCCTGTATTTTGGAGTCCTGATGTTATACAGATAAGCTCACGTTTAATGGTGAATGGAAACAACCACAGCGTGCAAATCATTGGAGTTTCACTGATTTAAATGGCTTCTGCTGTCCTGAGAGAAATAGGAACTCTCAAAAGAGTCCATTTGGGGACCATCTGCTTTATGCACCATCCCACATCACTCTGCATGTGGTAAGAGCAGTGGGTTGGCCCACAGGAGTCTTTATTCCTTGCCCTCACCTGGGTCTTTATCGCTACACGTCAGGTTCCTTGAGTGGATATAGTCGCCTGTTATAAATAGGTTTAGAGTAGTCTGTCCTTTCATTTCGGGGATGTGTTGTCCGAACAAATTATAAAGCATCCTAATATTTTTTAAAGATAACGTTGTATAAATATAGAGCATACTATTATTGAGATAGTATACCTACTGATATACTTGCATTTTTTAAAAAGATTTTATTTATTTATTTATTTGAGAGAGAGAGAGCACAAGCATCAGGGGTGGGGAGGCAGAGGGAGAAGCAGATTCCCCACTGAGCGAGAAGCTTGACATGGGGCTCGATCCCAGGACCCTGAGATCATAACTTGAGCCAAAGGCAGACACTTAACCGATTTAGCTACCCAAGTGTCCCAATATACTTGCATTTTAAGATTTAAGAATGTTTCTTTCCTGTGAGGCTGGTAAACTGGGGATAAGAAATCAGATCAGACTAAAAGCCAGAGAAGCATTTCTTGAATATAAGTTAGTATTGAATGTTTTTAATTCAATTGAATTCAATCGCAGTATTTGCTATGGGTGGAATAAATTAGTTACTGTTAATCATGTTCTTGTCTCTGTCACTGCGAGGGCCTCATGCAAACTTCGTGTCTCAATAACCGCAGTTATCTTTTATAAACAAAATGCACTGCATTTAACAGTTAACCTTAGCACATAAACAATGTCTGTAATTACACTACTGCTGTTCTTTGGCACTAGAATCTTCTGTTCTTTGATTCTCTTACTATTTTTTCCTAAAAACACCTAAACGTCAAATATTAGTTGCACATAATTTTTTAAAAATACTTATAGCTGTTATAAAGCTAACTTCTCTTTTCATGACAGTGTTCCCTGTTAAAATGCTTGGGCAGTTTTACCTTACAGTATGACCTCTTTGCAGGATTTTTTGCCCTTGTGAAGTGGTCAGCTGTGGAGGGTCTCAAACAAATCTAACATTTCCATGATGACAGTTCATGCCACTGCTTAATTGCTGATTCTCACCTTGTCTGTTACATGTGTTTTATGTTTTTCAGGAAAAAAGTGCCAGTTCAAACGTAAGACTTAAAACTAATAAAGAGATTCCAGGATTAGTCCATCAACCCAGAGCAAAGTAAGTTCTAGTTCCTATTTTCCTTATGTTGTTTTTAAAGCTAATAATGTTTTCAGAGTGAGCTCAGTTTTGCCTGCCAGCTATCCAAGATGTATTGTAAAGCTTCAGTGAATTGAGACAGTGTGGTTTGGTCTAATGGAACAGCATAGAGAGTCCCAAAACAGACCCATAATAAATGACAGAACTGACATTTCAGATCAGTTAGAAGAAAATAAAGGGGAATATCTTTATGACTGTGGGGTAGGGAAGAATTTTGAGTAAGTCACAAAAGATGCAGATCTTAAGAAAAATGATTCATTAATATGACTGCATTAAAATTAAGAAATTCCATCTATCAAAATTTACTGTAGGGGAGTAAAAGGAAATGGTGGAATATATCTACATTGCATATAATGGACAATAGTTGGGTTTCCAGGATATGTAAAGTAATTCTATAAATCAGTAAGTGCAAAACAGAGAGCTCATAGAAAAAGAGGCTAAAGATGCGAACAACCATTTCACTACAGAGGAAACTTGAAGAGCTAATAATGTCTAGGGAAAATACCATTTCACACCACAAGATTGGCGAAATTCAGAAAGTCTGATGGTACAAATGGTTGACCAGGGTGTTGAACAACAGGCACTCTTCACCCCAGTGGACATATAAACCAGTACAATTACTTTGGAAAACAATTTGTATTTTCTAATAAAATCGTACCTGGACGTACCTTGCCCACCAGCAACTCCCCTCTCAGGTTTATTAGCCTAGAAAACCCTCACGCATGTGTGCCCCAGACATGGTTGACAGGTCCATAGCAGCACTGTTTACATGAGCTCATAAAGCTCTTGAAGGCAAAACCCAAATGTCCTTCAGAAATATAGTGGATGACCAAAAAATGTGGCATATTCTTAAGCTAGGAATTCTACACATCAGTGAAAGTGAATGACCTATGACTGCACATGTCAAGATGGAGGACGGTCACGAAGGTAAGGCTGTGCAGTAAGGAAAGTAGTAGCACCTGCCTGCATATAGTCATTTATATAAAGTTCAAAAAAACAGGCAGAACTAATCAATAGGTTATGTATGTATGTGATAAAACAATAAAGACGAGTGAGGACATGAAAAGGCATTAAACTTAGAAGAGTGGTTCTTTCTCACTCGATGGAAGGCAGTGGGACCAGGGATTCTGTTTGTTAACCTGAGTGGTGATTACATGCGTGTTCCTTTCATTATTATTTAAAACTACAAATAACATGGTATTTTTCTATGTGTTATGCATTGCACGATTAAAAAGTTAAAGAGAAGAATGAGTATTTTTCTAGATTGTTCTAGAACTGAATCTACCATGGCAATGAAACGCACTTTGTGTGACTTTGAAGCTGTTTCCCCTTTCCTTCAAAGAGGCTCTGTTTTCCCAAGGCTACAGATCTCTTTTGTGGTGTTCCACCTAAATAACAAATTCCCTGAGGGTGCTGATCGTACTAGTGCAGCTGATCCAGTCACACCTATCCCCCAGATAAACCTATTACATCTACTTAATAGTAGTTCCATCCAAGTCATAAGCAGAAGAAGTTGTGTTACGTCTGGTTCTTTCCAGGAAATGGAGACAAAAATAACTGAGGTCCAACCAATCACTTTACGCTGGCTTGGTGTCTTTGGTGGTGCTGTAGGTGGTTAGGACTCTACAGGGTGGTGAATGAGCTCAGAGATTTAATTGTTTACTTTCAGAGAAAACTGGACATTTTAAAATCCACTTACCATTTACATTGACAGTGGGATGGTAAAACCGATTTTTGCACCCTTAGGGACACGTGATGCTGTAATCACAACCTCCCGCATCCACTTCACTGGTAGCCACTTTTATCTACACTACTTTTATCTGCCTTTGAGGGACAGCAGGTGTCTGATGATAGAATGAAGTCATCTTTTCATTCAAGCCATTCAATATATGCTATTTTTTAAATTTTTTTTAAGATTTTATTTATTTGTTTGACAGAGAGAGAACGCAAGCGGGGGGAGCAGCAAGCAGAGGGTGAAGGAGAAGCAGGCTCCCTGCTGAGCAGAAAGCCCGATGTGAGGCTCAATCCCAGGACCCTGGAATCATGACCTGAGCCAAAGGCAGATGCTCAACCAACTGAGCCACCCAGGCGCCCCCAATATATGCTATTTTTAAATGTTTCCCTTATCTCTGAGTTCTAAGGAGAGGTTGCATTAAAGAGAATTTCTTTTTTCCTTTGGTGTAAATACTTATGGAACTTAGACATAGACGCACTGAAGCAGATGCTCTGCAGACCGGCATGTGCTGGGGCTTTCAGAGAGGTTGATTAAACTGGCTCATGTGTTTACATTTAAATTAGGAAGAAAATCTTCTGGGGTGTGTGTGTGTGTGTGTGTGTGTGTGTGTGTTTTAAACTATGAGTCAGAACCTTGGATTACTGGAATTCAACTATGAAATCTTCCTGGAAGGCCATGAGGAGTGGTACTTCTCTACTGACACAGAGGATCAGGGAAACTTTTATTTATTCTGCAGTGTATAAAACAAGATAATGAGTTTCTTTTCTCCAGAAGTGGAAGGGCAATCCCATATATGTGATAACAAGAGATTTAGTAATAATAAAGGTAGATAGGTAATAAAAGGCAGATAGTCTTCATGCCTTCATTTGATATAACATGCAGAGCACATTCTTATTTTATAATCTCAGGCCAGTGTCATTGGGCTTCAGTTTTCTCAGATTAAAATAGAGCCCTCTCCTAGGGCTGGGGATTAAATGAAATAATGTACATCCAGTGTCTATCACAGTGTCTGATGCTTGTTAAGAATGCCTTAATAGTTAGGGGCATCTGGGTAGCTCAGATGGTTAAGCGTCTGCCTTCGGCTCGGGTCATGATCCCAGGGTCCTGGGATCAAGCCCTACATCGGGCTCCCTGTTCAGTGGGGAGCTTGCTTCTCCCTCTCCCACTCCCCCTGCTTGTGCTCTCTCTCTCTCTGTCAAATAAATACAATATTAAAAAAAAAAAAGAATGCCTTAACAGTTAGAAACAGCCCAAATGCCCTTTAACAGGAAATTGGGTAAAGTACCTTATTGCCTTCACACAGTGGAATATTAGCAGTTAAAACCCAAATGCACTGTAGCAACACACAACGCTGGATGGACCTGAGCAATATAATACTAGAAGAAAAGAGTAGGTCCTGAAAGATTACATAGAGCATGATGCACTCTACATAAAGTTAAAAACAACTAAATAAATCATCTGCTTTATAAAGCACATGCAGTAAAGCTTTATAAAAGGGGGGGAGGGCATATTGGTTCCCTTGAGTTGGAGGAAACACACGCCTAGGTGGGAAGTAAGGTAGCTCTAGGTTGTTGTCAAAGTCCTGGCTTTTGTTTTTTGTTTTGGTTTTGTGGATGCTTTTTATACTATATTTGACTAAACAAAAGTGAGCCGTGCATGAACTGCTAGCAAGGGTGTGCCATGATGTGAGGATTAGGATTAAGCCACTTCCCCAAGGTCCACTTGAGCAATGGTGATGATAATTACGAAAGAAAGAACTGTGTTCAGGCCAAGATTTGCCAGGAACTCCCTGAGTGATGGCATTTTATTTTTGCAGGTGAAGTATTAGGGAGTCAGGGCCTTGCCTTCTGATACTTTTGTGGCTTAGGTTTTTATTATAAGAGGAAACTTTTTTTTAAGTCACTAAAATTGAAAGCCATATACCTTTCAGCTCTCAAGCTCATTTTGCCCACCTTTTTCATTCCTTTGATTACTCGTCATTAAGATTCCATACTGTTGTCATCCCTCATGTCATGAAGCTGAGGAATCATAGTCAGAAGAGTCTTGGATGACTCAGGGTTGACTCAGAAGGGCTCTGCCAGCACCAGCTGGGGGCACAGGAAGTGCTGGGGGGTGCAGGGAGCATTGTGTTTTCCGCACAACAGAGTGCATTAGAGAAAAATAGGAATTGCTGTGATTGTTAAGTTTTATCAGTTAAATCAAGTGCCAGCATACAGGCTTTTATAAAATATTTTTAGATCTAATCAATCTTAGCATCAAATATTCATACTTTATAAACTGAATCATAAACAATTTAATTATCCGTTTCTATTATCTTGAGGAAAGCTAGAAAGGCCTGTGTGCTTTTTTCCTCCCTCCCCACATATGGTCACCAAAGTGTGCATCAGAAAGGGTTTAAGGATGGAGCTGTTACCTACGGGCTGTTTCTCACGGTGCAGTTCGGACTCTTGAAGGTAAAAACGAATATTAATGCCATCGTGTTGATGGAGTTTCCACACGAAGAGAGAACATCCGTGTTTATCTAGGCAGGAATCAGTACAGATGGGGCAATTTCGTGATTTATTCACTCCCCCAGAGTAACAGTGCTTCCTCTGCCCCCGTGGAAGGGCCTTCGGGGCTTGTCTGTGAAATGAATCCACAGAGGACAGAGAGGAGCTGAGTGAGCGTTGTGCTTGTGGGTCACACCACCCTGAAGATGGCCTCATGCGGGCCCTTGCTCCATCGGGGACAGTGGAGCTTATCGGACGGAGCTCATTTGGTACATCAGGATTTGATGATAAATAAGTCACCTTTCCATTAGTCTTTTCTGGCTAACACTGTCCACATACTCTATGTGGCAAGATAGTGAATCAGTCTGGCGGAAGACGCGTCTTGGTAGGTTTTGAAATGAGACAGAGGCAGGCAGGGATGTCCTGATGCTCTTACCCCAGGAGAAAGCAGGCAGCATTTCTCTATCAGTGGGGTATGATGGTAGAGATGCACCGACTGAAAGCCAGTGGCCTAGGTTTAGTTAGAATTGTTTCTCAAAGGGCACACACGAAAATGAAAATGGTAGAGTTTGCTTCCCAGCCATAGTACCCTCTGCCCCAGAGTGAGGCTACTGTTTGGTTCAGGATTCAGGTGGGGTTGCAGATACCCTGTCTTGACTAATTAATTCTGGGTTAAGGGGCTTTTGTTCAGTTTGCTTTAATCAAGGAATTCCTTTTTTTTTTTTTTGATGGTTAGAAAGTATGTAGTTAAAACTACCCAAAACTGGAACCACTAAGATTTTTGTGCTGGCTTACTATATATGCATCTTAAAGTCCTCACCATTACCTTTGGCATCAAGCTCCTGGTATGGACCCCAGAGCTCTGCATTCTTTTTTAAATTTATTTATTTATTTATGTAATCTCTATACCCAATGTGGGGCTCTAACTCATGACCCCAAGACCAAGAGTCAGACGTTCCTCTGACTGAGCCAGCCAAGTGCCCCTGAGCTCTGCATTCTTGATCCCAGAGATGGCAGACACATTTGCAGAATCACTTTTACTTAAGACTAATCATTTTGTTAGTCTAGTAGGCATATGTATGAGTACTAACCAAGCATGCCTGTTTTCATGTTGTGATAGTTCAATTAAGCAGTTAATGGAAGTTAATAACAATCCTAGAATATCAGTGCTGGAAGGGACCTCAGAGACCAGCCTAATGGTTTTAAAAATGAGAAATCTGAGGCCTGCACCTCACCCATGCCAACATACTGAACTACCTCTGTGAGGAGTCATGCATCACATGAATTAAAATAGGTAAGCTTTGTCAATTGAGTAAATATTGCCCTTCTGTTATTTGCAAGGCAATATATGTTAAAAACTCTACCCTAAAAGTTTCCACCGTGTACCTCAAATCCTAAACATGCCATTTTTATGAGGTCTCTTGGAATTTCCTAGGGAAACTAATACATACATGGTTATCTATATTAAGGTATGTGTGTGCGTGCGTGCACGCATGTGTGCGTGGTTATCCATATTAAGGTGTGTGCGTGCGTGCACGCATGTGTGCATGGTTATCTATATTAAGGTGTGTGTGTGCGTGCGTGCACGCATGTGTGCGTGGTTATCTATATTAAGGTATATCTATATCTGTATGTCTTCACGCCTTTTCTATCTGGGACCCAGAGCTGTCCAGCAACCTCATTTGCTGAGAGTGTGGCCAGGAACAGGGAGGATGCCCAGAATGTGTCTGAGCAGTCACAATGACTGCCAGAATATGCCTGTTCCCCAATCACAAGAACCACCCCCCCCCAAGCTCTCCCTCAGAGCCTGTTTACACTAACTTTAGACACAACTCTAACAGACTTGGTTGTGCTAAGCATGGAGTAGAAGCAGCAGCTGGGAAGGAAACTGAAAGAGAACCAATACCTTCTTTGACAAGAGGAAATGCGGGGAAAAGTTCAAAGCAGGCAGAGAACAAAAGCCCGTAGTTTCAGGCCACCTTGCTTAAGGAGAGACAGCTCTCCCCATCTCAGAGGCTCTAGGGGGTGTCCCACTATTACAGAGGGGGATTGTGATTTAAGATCATGGGAGTGGCCTCTAGTCATTAAGTGAAAGTTAAATAATGTTTGTGATAGATCCTCTATTAAAGTTTAGAAGATTTGCATCCAAAGTGGCTCAAATAAAAATTGTTTTGGCACTTAAAGAAGTAAAACCATGGGGAATCTGGAAAAATTCAGGTATGCAAAAGTGGCTTTTCCACCCAGCCAGAGAAAGAGAGGAGACTGTTTTAATATATTCTCATCATCCCAGATTCTGGCCTGCCTTTCTAACCTGCAACAAGAGAGGGTCTGTTTCTGAAACAGGACATTTACCTCACTTGAATTATCATATAAAGAACAGGAAAAATTACATGATGTATGTGAAAGTTGATTGCTGATATCAGATAGTTTATCATTTTCCTTTTATATCAGAGCTGATGTCATGGTGCTCCCAATGTTAAATCTTGGTTTTACTCACAGGGAAAAACTTTCGAGCCCCATTATCTGTCCTTGGAGGCCTGAAGGGCTTGGGGTCTCTTGGGCCATTCTCTATGGCCCCTAAAGGGTGAGGGAGAATGCTAAAGGGTAAGTCAGGTGGGCTGCCCCCCACACCTAGACTTGCAGAGCCTCCCCTCCTTCCATGCCCCACCACTGCAACAACTGAGCACTAGAAAGAGGCACTGTGCGATGTGTCTCTTAGCCCAGCATCCTGAACCTCCTTGGACCAACTGCACCTGTTTGTTGCGTAGAAATTACTATCATTAAGACCATGTTGCCACCAAGACCCTTTCCTCCCCATGCCCTTCCCATCTGTGATTCTTCTCTGCTCTCCTTTACCTTCTTATGTTTTGTCCCCAGCACCCATGTCGGTCTCACTAAGTGTGCAGTCAAATAGCATTAGACAAACAAACACACAGGGCAAGTGCTGCTCACATATGCCCCCTGCCTTTCTCCCACATTCCAGTGGGATCTCACTTCCAAAGAGGTGCATTGGCTGTCACCACTGCACAAAGGGTTCAGGGGCAATGTCAAGTTCTTTGCCTGTTAACTGCCAGCCCATACCTACACGGTCGACTGAATACCATGCTGATAATGACAGTCTTTGTAAAGTACACATTTCCACAAAATAACTTGGATATATTTTCTTTTCACAGTTACACACAGGTTTGAAATATGCCATGGAATGCTTGTCTGTGCTTTTTTTTTTTAAATCACAAATGTGTATCTGAAGAAAAAAATTGACACACACCTCCCAGTAACATCACTATAAATAATACGTGTACATTTGAAAGGAAATTGTATACCTTAAATCATAGGAACTGATAGACCATAATGAAACACATTTATAGGAATTACTGTAATGGCATTTATCCTTAATATGACTTAGACTGTTCACTGGAATAGTCGGTAATATATAAATGTCTGCTTCAAAGTTTGGGGACTCAGTGGTTTTCATTTGAGGGAGCTGGTTGAAGAAAACATTGAAATAATGCACTTAACTATTCTTGTATTTTTAGCATGCACATCTCTGAAAGCCAACAAGAATTCTTCAGAATGCTGGATGAAAAAATTGAAAAGGTAAGTAAAATAAATGAACCACTTGTTTCAAAGGAAATATGCTAACTGCCTCATGAGTTAAGGTAATAATATTCTGATTTCTGTGTTACAAAGCTGTTCTTGTAAGGGGATGGGTAGAGAGTTAAAACAAAAGTCTCCCCTCACAACAACAACAACAAAAAATGTGACTATGAGAATGTTTAATGTATGCTGGAGCAGCACCCAAGACCCTAGGCTTGTTGATCATTAATTACATGTATAGGGCCAAATAGAGACTAGTAAGAGCCTTTGCCTAGAGACAGAACATTGCTATCCCTGCACATTGTCTGCACCTGAAACCCTGCTCTCACTTGAGACAGCAAGCAAGAAGGTCGTTAGTGCCTGCAAAAAACCTATGGAGTGTCCACTATATGCCTGACACTGCTCTGAGTTCTGTACAAACATCGCATGCATGTTGCAGTCAATACCCACCGCAGGGAAATGGCTCAGAGACAGGTATCATCTGCATTTTACAGACAAGGAAACTAAGGCTCACAATACTTGAATAACTTACCAAGGTTTGCAAGGCCAATAGTGGTCAAGTTGGAATTCCAGCCCACATCTGCCTGACCCCAAAGCAGAATCTCCCAAGTTGCTTCTCTAGGAGCGTGGGGATTTTACATTGACAGGAAGATCTGTGTGGAAATTGAACCCATACTTCGGATCTCAGAGTGCCATATGCTAATCAACTGAATGAAGTATGGAATATGGTAAGAATTAAAGGCTTACTTACATACTTGTAGAATTTAAATTCATCACTGCAGGGGGTGAATTTTAAATACTACAGTTATAAATCTGAGTATTACCATTTGAAAACCCTGTTCTGAAGAAGAGTAAAATTCTAAATTCAGAACATAGCACAACTATGATTAAGGCATCATGGGCCAGTTTTGCCTTTGAAGTTTTTTCCATTTTAATTTTTATTTATTTTTTACTTTTTGTGGCCCTTTTATCTGAGCATTCCTTCATGAATTCCTATGTCATGATATATATCACTCAATGGAAAATAATGAAGGGCTTAAATTCATCAGTATTTTAGCAGCAGACCTCATTCTGAAGTGGACCTCCTCAAAGAATAGTTGTGCAATCTTCTAATGCACCATTAAAGGACCACATATGTTGCCAATGTGAAAGGTAGAGATGGATGATGAATTAGAATGGAACTTTAACCTACAGTATTTCTTGGCTATGCATAAATACTCCTTTGCATATAATTTATTTTATTTTATTTTATTTTTAGAGAGGGGGAGTGAAGGGGCAGAGGGAGAGAGAGAGAGAGAGAGAAAGAATCTCAAGCAGGCTCCACACCCAGGGCTGAGCCCAACTCAGGGCTCCATCTCACCACCCTGAGATCATGACCTGAGCCAAAATCAAGAGTCGAATGCTCAACCAGCTGAGCCACTCAGGTGCCCCACCCACCCATTTTTTTAGTGAAATCCTGGCTTACATATGATTTTTAGATTGAAAACTTCATTTAGGAATAATTACCAAGTTTCATGTATTGGTTCAAAAGCTGTTCAACTTGTCAATAACATTTGTTTTAGTAAAGAAAGGCAAAAAAAATAAATATTTTTTTTCCCACTATAAGGCTGTAGACCTTTTCTTTCTCAGTTTGTTTGGGCTCTATGGCAATAAAAAGATCTTCTTCATAGAGTTAGTCTGTAAAGGTTGAAACCTGAATAGTAAGTTACTATCTTTTTAACCAAAAGTTACAAACCCTGACAAGGCATTTAAGATGATCTAATCCCTTCCTGGTGTGTTTCCGTAATTGAAATTCTACCTCCTTTTACTCAAAACTGGAATTCATTGTTCCCATCTGAAATCCGATTTCCCTTTTACCTTTTGTATCCAGTGTATAGAGTATGATGTGTCTAACACAACAAAAGAAAAGTTTATAACTTGATCATTTGTTGGATGGAGGCTTCCCTAGACAAAGGAGCATTTGTAGATTCAACATAAACAGTATTCCCACTATGGAATACATTTATGTTCAAAGAGCTGTTATGTAATCTGTGACATGCACCCAGTTATAGATTTCTAGGGGAATTTTCTATCCGGTCTGAACCAGGCTTTCCTGTTTCTTCCCTCTTATCTAAAGTTCATCTTTCTGAATATTTTGAACATGCTGTTCTGTGTATTATTTAACCATTGAGCCTCTAAGATTAAAATGTTCCTTCTTAATATATGCATTTGACTTAATATAATCTTCACTATATTTTATATAACCAAGATTGGACATGGATTCTTATCAATTATTTTCCTGACTTTCCACCATTGCTAAATATGTCTTTAGTCCAAGCTAGCCTGAGGACAACCAGAAATGTGACTCAGATCTATTCTTTAGGTTTTATAGGATTAATTTTAAAAAACAAAAAACAGGGGCACCTGGCAGGCACAGTCAGTTAAGTGTCCAGCTCTTGGTTTCAGCTCAGGTCATGATCTCGGGGTTGTAAGATCGAGCCCCACATCGGGCTCCACCCTGAGCACAGAGTCGGCTTCAGACTCTCTCCCTCTGCCCCTCCCTGCTCTGCATTCTCTCTCTCTCTCTCTCAAATAAATAAATCTTTAAAAAGAAAAAAACACCTCAAGAGCTTCATGCTAAAAATTGGAGTCATTCTCAGAGGGCTTGAGTTTTGAGATTTAATATCTCTCAGAAATGTCCAGGGATTCCTTTTTCTTCCTTCAATTGATAAGAAGCAAAATTGACTGAATGTGCAGAGATTTAAGTCTGCCCTTCCTTGATTCTTCCTTTATATTTATTGAATGTCTGTAGGACATGGTTTCAATTTACCCTTCAACTCTCGACACCAAAAAAAATCTCTGTCTCTCTCAAGAGAGATGTAGAAGTACCATTAGTATAAAGAAAGTATAGTATAAAGACTGTTAGATGGTCTCATATTTACAGTGGAACTTAAGTTGGACGGCTCTAGTTCGCACCTTCAGCTGGACCAGCATTTTCTGAGAAGTTAATGATGCCAAAGGAAAGCAAGTAGCAAAAATGCCTTTAAAAAACTTACCACTTACAGAGTACCAGATAGTTACTTATTCAGGATAGACAATAGATAGGAAATTTGGGATACAAAATATGTAGGTAACAGTCCCTGGCCTTGAGGAGCTCAATTTTAAAAGTAAGTTTCTTTCACAATGTAATCGTTTTACTGATTGGAACCCTTCATCCATCACCCCCTTCTCCCCACACCCCCCTGCCCTCCGTAGTCACCGGGAGCCAGGTCCTCCTGTACCGAACACAAGTGTTTGTTGGGTCCGGTGTTGAAACTTCAGGTCCCATTAACCAGGCAGCCAGGACAGCTTCCCGGACACTTGGTACTATTTCCACTGCGCTGGCATCTAGAAGGCCCCGACACTGAGCTGCATCTGGGAGAGCTTTGGTCAGGAGAGCAATGAGAGTTCTAAAGAACTTTATAACCTCTATTTGATTTACTTCTGCATTTCCTTTGTGGAGAGTAAAAATCCTATGACACAATAGGAGCACCTCATTTACTTTCACCTCATTATGTTTTACTCGGATATTCAACTGGAGTATGACCTGAGCTGAAGAAGGCAGAAACTTAACAGACTGAGCCATCCAGACATCCCAAGACAGCTCTTAATATTAAATAAAGAATGTCTCAGTACAGTGCCATTTGCGTCTGATTAGTTTTTCTCAAGCAAGACTTTGTAAGCTTTGTTAAGCCGTGAGCATCTTTTTGGAATCTTATAAAAGTTATAGAGACTCTCCCTTATACAAATGCACATATCATATACACAAATTTCTTAAGTAAAATGTCAGGGTTTGAAAATTCCCTGGAGCCTGTCCCTGGGCCCCAGGCCAAGAACCTGTGGATTTCTTTATGATGGCATTTCATTGATGTGCTGCTTCCCTCTGATCCAGGGCCTATCTGCACCCGTGAACCTTACTAGCAATGATCCATATAGATCTCTGGTTTTAAAGACTAGGAAACTCCACACAAACCCATTCTCCTTTTCTTACTGCCCTTCCTTCCTCTCAAAAGTAGCTGATAGTACTTCACCCCCTGAGGATGAGCGACCAGCACACCTACTGTATCATCTTGCTTATTCCTGTATGAGCTTGAGATTCTGTCACTGTTGACTGGAATTATTCATTATAACCTTTTGAGGAAATGTATGAGAAAGAGCAGCTCTGGATTTAAAATCGGCTGATTTTAAAGGACGTGTGTTCATCGATAGACCTGTACATCTATTAAAAAAATCATTTACACTTAGAATATGTTTGCGTTCCTGCAGTGGCCTGGTTCCCTTGGCCCCAGAACTAAGCCTAGCTGGTGAGAAAGAGCATGTCTGCATTTATAAAGTTATTTCGAGGGCTCTTCCTCGTAATACTACATCAGCTCAATCTGAACCATGTCTTGAATCAATGTGTTGGAGATCAGAAGGTGTTTGCTTTTCACCTGGTGAAGAGAGTGACTAGCATGTAATTTACAAACCATGATGTTTGGTTCTATATATAAACTATCCCTGTAGAGGACTGTGTAACTTCAGAGTTGCTATAGAATCAGATACAATATGTGGCAGATGCAGCTGATGATAGGTTTTACTCTCTGGGCAGTGTTTGAAGGCCTCCTCAGTGCCCACTAGGGAAGAGAAACATGGGACTGTTGTATCAAATCCTAAGGAATGTTACACAGCCTGCCTGTGTGTGCAGAGGAAATCATAGGGTGTGCCTCCCTTCTTGCTTTTCACTTTTAGCAACAGCCAAGGCCGGCAACAGCCCTCAACACTGGTGGAGAGAGGCTCTTGCTGGCATGTATATTTTGCAAGTGGGCTGGTTTGCCAATATCATTTCATTAAACAGTTTTGTGGTAGTATGGCCTTACCTTTGCCTAATAAGCAGAACCTTCCTTGTGTCCCCCTGCCTTGCCTTCCCTCTCTCCTGTGTGTACCTTTCCTCATTCATCAGCCAAATTAAAGCTGTAATTACAAGGGTAAGGATGGGACTCAGT